TGCCGAGTACGCATCAAATATTGCTTTGGGTATGCACTCGTTAGCACTTTGTGGTTGGGTTTTATGAACAACTGTGAGAAACAAACATCCAATCAAGAGTTTGTTTGAATAAAATAGTTGAAATTCCTTACATCCGACTTTGAAATTATGTTCTTGATTCCAAGATTGATTGTAGCCTACTGTCTTCTGAAATAATACATTATTTTTGAATATGTTTGAGACGTTTGGGCTTGCCGCCATGTAGGTTTTCAGTCTCTTATCGTAAAGGAGGGAACCGGAAGTGAGCGCCCGGATAAGCCTATGATTATTGAAGGAATTTGCTATGTCCCGACCTGGACTCAAGTGATTTGAGTGAATTGACGAGTTTCTGGTGTTTCCATTATAAGACTCGAAATTTTCAGTTGCAAAGAGGCAAGCTGGACCAAAACGAAGGATTGACGCCGAGAGGTGAACAAGCATATGGAATTTAGGCTTGTTGCACCATTGTGCTGAGAGCTTCACAATTGATACAAGGAACATTTCAACCCGTTGTCCAAGTTGCTCAAGATAAGATTCCATATCCGTAATTTCAGTCTGAAAGATCAACGGTGCAAGATGGGATAGTGATGTCCAAGCTTCACGCTCTTCAGCTGATAAATCACATTCAAAAAAAATGAATGGTGCTGATTGTATTACTGTGCGAAATTCTTTTCCTGTGAGGCTTTGAAAGTGAGTTATCATACTTTTAGGCTGGATTGCAGGAATGCTCAATCCAGAAGTGCTGAAGGATCTCCACCGACCCCAAATCAATTCCATTCCTTTTCTTTTGCTGAACATAACTTCATTCGATTACGGAGAAGGTATTTGGCTACTCCCAAAAGCACCACGTGAAGGATTTCGATTGGGGTGTCTCGATGACCATCGAATCCTAAGTAATAACAATGAACATATTAGTGCATTACTTGGCGGTGGAGGTAAATGAACGTAACCTTTCAACCTCAGAAACGGATTAAATAACCGTTCTTTGAATTCTTCATTGAGTTCAGAGCAGATCTGCGCCACTGCTTCTTTTGAATAGTTTATGTCTTGATGCAAGTCTTGAACCTTTTTAACAAAGGGCATATTACCTTGGTCGCGAACCCCACACTTACCTGATTCACTGTCAAAAACCGAGATGGTGTTTGGCTTTTGCGCCAACTCCCATAGTTCTTTTGTTTGCTTTCTTGTTTTGTCCCAGCTTCGAGTTGGTAAATTCAACTGGAACAAATGAACAAACCGCATGCTCAATGGTAATAGTAAGTGGCAGATCCAATCAGTAAATAAAGAGAGATATTACCTTGTGCCCGTTTTCATCAACTCCCACAAAATTGCTGAAATATGTTCGTGACCTTTTCTGAGCCAATGATTCAACCTTCAAGTCACAAATTCGGCATGGTGTGAGAGAAACCGTTGGGTTCATCGTGTTGGTGACTTCGGCATGCATTGGCGAATCACCTAAATGACAAAGTATAAATGGAATAACCAGCACTTCTTCTTTGCACTGATTGTCGTATGCCACGAAACCGTTGGTTGTGAGTTTGCTGAATGCAAGGCATTGTCAGATGGTAATATCAGTACCAATGAGGAAATACATACTTGATTCCATCGATCACAGGGTCGGCAAGCTCCAAAGCCCCTGCTGTATTTGATGTTGTCAGGAAATGGCAGTTATATTCCTGATTCACAAATTTTGAAGGTAATCCCGCGAGTGTGAAGTAAAAAGCAAGGTGTTTATTCCACCTTTTCGAGATGTTTCCAGAGAGATCATCGCAATAAAGCACCGAGGGCATATGTCGAATAATCCTGCCGCCTGCCTTTTTTCTCCACACGTTTTGTATCAGAACTTCATTGCATTGCCCATTTGCATCATTCTCTATGATGATATTTTTATCAGTTCGAGTCAGTCACAATCAATCAATCAAATAAAGATGTATAATACTGACCATACATCACGTCTCCACTTAAATCTTTCATCAACTTGCCACCAATTTCTATTTGATCCAATCCTTTGGCAAAGTTTTTAACATCAATTGAAGATAGCTGTGAAGAATCAAAAGACGAGATGGATGGAAACTCGACACGGATTCGTTGACATCCTTCAGAGTCTTGATAAGCAGATTGAAGTGCAAAAGCACATTTCGCCAAGACTTGACTATTGATTTGATAAAAGAATATTGGAATGACAATTCTTTTTGATATAAGTTGGACTGGCTCATATATGAAGAATTGTCCATTTGAAGAGGCCACCATTTTCACCCGTAAGTCTCGATCCAGCTCTTCTCGCCATTTTTTCAATTGCGTAAACCGGTTGATTTTTGATGTTAAAGTTGGCAATTCGGGTGTGAATTGGAGATGATCCATAACATATGGATTTGCTAGCTCCTATAAAAATACAATCCACAATAAGCAAAGCAGAAAAAGACTTCATCCCAAAGATGAAAAATAAAAAAGTACTTGAGTCAATATCTGCTGGACCTTGAGTCCAAAACATGGCTTTTCCAAAGGACTGAGGGACTCAGAGACGTCAAATTCAAATCTTGTCTTGAGATTTTTGCGCACACGCTGGAGGGTTTTATATGCTGGAAGCTTTACATTCAGGAGACCAATAAAAGAACGGACACGTTTGTACTGAAGCTGTGACATGATTGTCCTGGATGAACCTAGAGTCAGAAACCCAACAAGTTGCTGATCAAAAGAAGCAAATAAGATTCTGGAATAGTTATAAAAATAACTTCAAGTGCTCTGACCTCTAAGCTGGAGAAAGGCGCCCACGACAAATCCTCTACACCCTGCACATTGACACCGTTTCCTTCTTCTCCCTCTTCGTCAGATGGATCTGAGGTCACTGATTGGTTATCTTCGTTGTTAAAATCTATTGAATGATGTTCTATATTTTCATCTTCACTATTCACGCTACTGTGATCGGAGGCTGGAGCTGGAGATGCAAATATGTGTGTGTAATCACGCGCCCAAAGGTTGACAAGGGCTTGTCGTCTTTGTTCACGTTCATGATCGACTGACTCGTCCACGTTGGGCTCCACCAAAGGGGGATCCATTGAATCTTCATCCATATCAATTTGATCATTATTTAATTGATCATTGTCCTGCACTGCTTCATTTTCAATGGATATGAAGCTGACAGCAGCTGGAGCGACAGCCGTGTTGCGAGTAGTTTTCCACCTTTCAAGGTTTCGAATGTGATTTTCCGTTTTAGAATGCCTTTGAATGGATTCTTCTTGCATCGTGCGGCCTCCAGGACAAGCCAAACAAGAAAATACAATATCGCCTGGACCGCGAATGGTCTCTGCAAAGCCTGAAAACACAAGTCGTGTCAGATTTGACGGCCTTGTTGTTCATTCATGAAGGCATTACATTGTTCAATACAACGACGTCCATCCATCTTGATAATTGGGTAACCCAATTTGAAGTGCGATGATTGAGGTGAAAGCAAAAACACGAAATGTGAGGAACGGTTTGAAAAATTCTGTCCTTTGACAAAAGGGAATGATTGAGTGTTTCCTCATTGGAAACCAAGTGGCTCGCTGGGTTAGCCAGCGTGCTCAATCAAATTAAGACCTGTTTCTCATCCGCTGATAATTAAACCAGGGGGAATGTGTTCTGTCATTACGGGTTTTCGAGAGGTTTTCAAGGAAATCATGACTTCAGGTGATCAACCGCTCTCACGGTGGTTGATCACCTGTATTTTGAAAATCACTTGAGGGCCGGATCAGGTCGCGGTACTCTGCCAAAAATCCACCGGTATTCAACCATGTCTTGGTGGAACCTCCTGAAACCCGTTCCTCAACAAAAGGAGGGTTTGTGGTGTAGGGCTTTGCGGGGGTCCTATTGCCCCTCATCCTCCCTCATTGCCCCTGTCGACTTAACATACATACATACAAACTTGAGATCTGTTTGATTGAGCTCTATAGCTTTGGCTTTGTACTACATTACGGTGGAGAGGAGTAAGGTCAAGACCTCAATTGCAATTGATCAGAACAGTTGTAGTCTCAAGATCTTAAATGCATTTCACTTTGAAGTTTGAAAAGATCAAGTGGCTTGTACCTCAGTCGCTTTAGCCATGTGAGGCTAGCGTTGGACTTTGCCAATTTGTGGCTTGTCAATGTTTAGTGTGGTCCGTGACCACAAGTTCTGCCGCAAAAGTCAAGCAGTTTGGCGCGGAATTTTTGGCATGAAGTAAGAACGACAGGAGTATTACCCACCTGTGTGTACTGAATCCCTCCAAGTGTATTGAATGATACAGCCTCTTCTATCATCCTATAGCCTTCGAAAACGCCCCTTTAGAATTTCCTAGGAAGATAGGAGCTCCTAGGGTAACCTCAAGATTCTCCTAAGTCCCACTTCTCTAAGGGGGGGACCTTTGGGTTGCTCACGCACCAAGCGGTACTATCACCACCACAACCTGAAATCTTACAATCTCAGAAGAGATCTCCCCGCCTCAGACATAATCTCACCACTACACTTGTATTCTCACCACTGCACAGCTCACATATCACCAGTATATAAAAACTCACAACATGTCACTCGTCACTTCCACTGATTCTTACAACCTCATCCCAAATATCACCATTTGAGACAGGATCTCACCACTGCACCTAAACTCTCACCACTACACATCTTTTATATTACCAAGATATAAAAACTCGCCACACGTAGCACTCGTCACTTCCACATCTTACTACAGCAACTTTACATTATCACTACTGTTGTACATCCCATTACTACCATCAAGCTTACTCACTACTCTACGACAAGCTTTCACTGCTCTACCTATCAAAGTCACAACTATACCCAGGTGCACCGTAACTCAATAATACCAAATACCCACCATATGTAACAAATTTATATTACTACTTTACCACTACTCTCGCCTTTCAAGTTCCCAATCTCATTCACTCTTCTTCAACACTCTGACTTCGATTCACGTTCAACAACCCCACAACATCCATCCTTTACTTCCTACAATGTCCACTACTCGAACGGGCCGTAGAAAGGCTGTACGGTTTCCAGCTGGAACCTCTTCTGAAACATCCACCAAAAAACTCACCATCACCACCACTGTAAAAAAACAAAGAGCATTAAATGTCAGTGATAGACCACCCAACAAGAAGCGACGTCGAAATGAAGACAACGACGAAGATGACGACGAAGATGACATCAATGATGAGGATTACCACGACGAAGACGAAGACCAAAATGACAGCCAAATCGCAGCACTCTCTGAAATTGAGCCTACTAGTCACAAGATGTCGTCTGTCCAACCAAACTTTAGCAACTACCATGAACTCGGTGTTGAATGGGGCCAGGCGTACGCTGAAAAAACACTCACCTCTCTAAATCTACCCAAGAATAACCGACCTTCGACCGCGGGACTCTTCGAGGCACAAGCGTTGCAATCAGCTTACGGCACCGACAAAACGATGCTTTGCATTATCATGAAATGCAGCAGAAAGGTCCTCGATGAAGCTTTGTAAGTCATTTGATTGTTGCTTTTTCAACTGTGAATTGATTTGAGCTGTTTGCAACATACCAGGCTAGAAGGTCCATTAACCCGCGAACCCAATATGTATACCAACTATCAAACATACAGTAACATCGCAACTAACACCCCAAGTAAGAGAATTTCAAAGAAGTGTCCGCTGTTGATATTCAATTAATCCATTGCTTCTCTCCTTGTTATTCAATTAATCATCGTACTCCAAGTGCCACCCAAGGGAGTGTCAAAGGGATTTAAAGCTCGCAACCAAATCGTGGGCTCAACTTGGTCATCTTATAATCCGGAAGAGCAAGAAGTTTTCACACCTCGCCTATTTGAGAGGCTCTGTATAGCCACAAGCGAGGCGTTTGCGTTAACACAAACACCACTGGGTATTACAACGTCATTCCGCGATGAACCAAAGGAACTTACCAATGGACCCTCTGCAAGTCCTCCCGCATCTGGAATTGAACCACTCAGCCCACAAGAGTATGACAAATACGGACCAATTTTTGAACGACTGGTCAACTCCCAGAAAGTAGCACATGACCTGCACAACGGCCGACTCTGGAGGCATAGCGGCAAAACGAAAAATCGGACCATGGAGCAGCTGATGACAAAGGAAGTTGGCAAGATAGTGCGGCAGGTAAGATTACACTCCCTTCATCTCTCTCAATCATCTGCCAACAACTTATGCTTTAATTGGATGTTCAGCTCCACGTTTTGAAAAATCAATTCAACCTGCAATTTCACATTCTGATTGCAAGATGGACGCCGGATTCACCCTCCTCCCAAGCCCTCTTTCAGGAAGAGTACATGTCTTGTGAAAGGTGGGCGCGGTCACAGCAGAAGACGCACCTGCTTGAACGTTTCACTTTTGAATCTACCAAAGCCCCACACCATCTTCGCGAAACAAGTGACGGCCGCAAGGCACCATCGCCAGCTGCAATCCGACAAGCTGAACGACGCACTGAGCTAGCCAAAGCCCTCAACAATCTGATATGTAAGACATTTTTTGAAATCTGTTTTGTTTTATTTCTTGCCCACCAACTACGTGCTGACAGCGCATTCCTTACGAAATAGCCCCCTATCTACGTGATGGTTATCTGGGAAAGGGAGACGCACACCCAAAATGTGCCAACTTGCAGGAAGCTTTACCCAAGAAGGACTTCCGCGGTGGAATAAAGCTGGATATCCATCGAACCCCTGAGAGCTGCATTACTGATAGGATGCTAGCTAAGGGCCCCAGCTCTCTTACAAACGACGAAGTTGAAATATGGATTGAGGATATCAACAATAAGTACTACACTATAGTTAAGGTGAATGCTACAGAACAAAAAGACACCACATCGGACAAATCCGAGTCTGATACCGCTTCCACACCATTACACTTGGCTGAAGCGGAAATAATGGCAGAGCTTACTGGTAACTCCGGAAGTAACTGAAGGCAGCACGACTTATTGTTTGCCATCATATGTCATCCAAACACAATTCCCCCAATTACCTTTCAAACTCTCTCTTTACTTGATTTCTTGTTTCTTTGCTCAATTCACAATTACTATCACACATGTTTCAATACTATACTACTTTACCCTTGAGTTACAACTGAGAAATTTGTTAGTTTATTAATACCCTTGGGGATACCAGAGAACCACAGTACCTTCATAAGTTTGAGAGCAATCTGCAAGTTGCTAGTGTAATTTGGACGGTTCCCCTTAGAGCCTGATAGGTCTAATTCTCAGGTTGCATAGAGGTATTTGATATATTGGATATGTATTGATGTAAATTCAACAATACTCCTATCGGTTTTGATCATGAAAAAAAAGCGCCGCGAGCAGGGCTCGAACACTGACCACTGAGGCACAGATGGGCACAAACTTAACCCAAGCATCTTATACAACACAGCCATAGAGACAATGAGCTTCATCCCTACAAACGAAATACAACGTACCGGTATAATATCAATGTCTAAGTACACTACAGTTTGTATGTTATCATTAACATTAAGGTCATTAAAGAATGACCTGTATGTATGTACAAAAGGTTTATTCTAGGTTTATACTCACAAGATAAACAAGTATTAACCTTTCGTCTTCCTCAAGACCACACTGCCCTATCGACCCTTGCCTCGATTCGATGCTGCTCCTCGCTCTAGTCGTCACTGTAAGTCCCAGCCGATTCTTTTCACATCAATTGATTTACTTTTTCTCATAGATTTCAATTTGATCTTTCGTCACTATCCTTTCACACAAACCTCAGACTATTTCGACCGATTTCGACCACCGTTGAAGCGCTATAGGACCGTTATCATCGACTTCAATATCAATAGAGTCAATTCGATCTTTCGTCACTATCCTTTCACACAAACCTCAGACTATTTCGACCAATTGCGACCACCGTTGAAGCGCTATAGGACCGTCATCATCGATTTCAATATCAATAGAGTGTAAGTAAGTAACATTTCATTTCACATCTGCCTCTGGGAGTTCTGGACTGACCTTTCGCACATGCTATCATTCCTAATTCAGAACATCGCAGCTATCCTTTCCCACCTTGCTGAGTTTTTTTCGATCTTCTTGGAGACATCCAATCGATCGATTCCATCAATTCATACAGCGTGTGTATGATTAATATCTTCCAACATCAAACAACTCTCACCAAGATACAGAAGTCAAAAGAGGTATGTACTTGTTCATATCCCATCATTTTGGTATTGTCTTGCATGTGTTGTTACTCAATATCGTAACATAAATATTCTAGATCTCATCAATACGAGTGCTGGACCATATTCCTCCTTTTTTGCACACTGAAACATTGTTTCGTTTTCCACTTTCAATATTTGGGATCGATCTCAGCACGGGGCATTTGCTTTAGTAAGCTCCTAATTTCCATAGCTCCGTTTTCCACATCCAAACCATCTTCAGGAAATGATTGAAGGCTATACTCAAGGAAGTGCGTAAGCAGGGCAGGATGCACGGATAGCATCTGCATAACTTGAAAGACATCTTGCCTAACGCTTTACGCTCTCCCTAGTTTGCATGCCTTCAATTTTTTCCTGTCTTACTTCGCTAAATACTAATGTCTCATAAATGTTTTACATCTTCCTGCAAGGTTTGCACACACGAGATGCCCACCGACATCACTCCCGGATGGGCCAGTCATAAGAGGGACAAACACCCAACCAATATATGGTGGGTTACAAAGCCAAAAACTCACTCTTAGGTAGCGACTAACTTCACTTGCTTCATACAGTGAAGAAGATCCAAATTCGAATCAAAAATCGCTACCTGGAGTCACCTGGCTATCGGACCTTTTGAAAGTGATCAATGTCAAAAGACAAACTGGATATACCAACGATGATGTAAGTCACAGAAGCTTTCTCACAATCCTCATAGAATAATCATGACAACTAATCCTATATCGATCTCTCTGCAGCTACCCCAGCCCTTTGATGTCCCCAAGTCCTACGCCCATGTACCTCATCAGTTCCTAGCACCGGATGGTTTCCCCAAACCTGAATTCTGGCTGCATCACGGATGTCGCTCGGCTATACCACCCAAGGCGGGTAGTAAATACGGAAAAGGAAGAGTAGTGTAAGTTATTTCAATCTCTATGTGATATCCATCTACTAACATATGCATATGCATTTCACTGTCTGTAGAGAACGCGCGCTGGATAGATATCGCGAAGAGGGTGTGGAAGGGTTGCCTGAACCTTTCCAGCGCCCTGAGAAGACATATAGCAAACCACGGCCGTACGTATGCTTGCTATTCCTACTTGCAAATTGTAGTTGGTAATTGACCCATTTTGATTTCTCCCACAGGCGTCATGCAAAGCAAGCTGAGGAGCTTAATGCTGCCAGAGCTGAAGACCAGTCGCCTGACCAGCAAATCGAAAATACCTTTAGTCGTGCATGTGATCAACTTAATGACCCGGTTCTCCCATTCGAAAACTACGAACGTACCATGGATATCATCTTGCACCTATATACAATAATCGATCATGGAAAAGGTCAATTCGTTGACCGGAAAAGCAAGAAACTCATTTTCACCTACGCTTTTGAAGATCTTGAAACTATGAAACCTGAAGAACGCGAAGAACACCAACAGGACGTATCCACAATTTTGATGTCTACCAAGCTTTTTAGAAGATTACCGACTCCTAAGAAATCGCCTCAACCTGTCCCACGTGAATTTCGACCTCGAGCCACTAAAGTAAATAAAAAACTATTACCGACTCCTAAGAAATCGCCTCAACCTGTCCCACGTGAATTTCGACCTCGAGCCACTAAAGTAAATAAAAAACTCCACGAATGTGCCGACTCTGCCGCTCATGATCAACAGTTCGATTACGATTTGATCGATGGAGCTTCCACTTTACCACTTTCTATCAACGGTGCTTTATCATATATGCCTTCTTCACCTCTAACTTCGCTACCGCCCTCGGATTCCGAACCTTTTGAACCTTTAGAAAAGACTCCGCATTACCAAGAGCCCTATCAACAACCACCGTCGTCACCCCTTACTTCACTTCCACCTTCCGATGCAGAAGATATTCCAATAATTCCACCCTTACTTTCCAGAAAACGTAACACCATCTCTAAAACCGCCTCGCTCATCCCAGCAGCCTCCAAGAAGCGTAAGCGGGCCGATTTGACTCATGTGGAACCTCTGATTCCTCCCAATAAGCGTAAGGCAAATGTAACCACCAATGGGGCCTTGATTAATGGGAAGATGTACTGTTTTGGACAAACAGTAGGCTATACACGAGATATCCTCATCTCACCTTATATGCCCATCAATGGGTCTTCAAAACCCTTATACCGAAAATTTCTTGATCGGCTCCCTGACTTTGGCGATCGAACCGGCTCACGATTCAAATCCTTCTGTAATGAAGGATTCCGAGGGGCTCGCCAGCAGCTCAATGATCTTAAAGCACCTTCCATGGCGTCCACTTCCAAACTTCAACCTTCTGGCCCTCTTGATTTTGCGGCAAACTTCGCTTTTACTTTTGCCAACTTTTATAACAAGCCGCATACGGACAATGACAAGGGTAAAGTTTATTGTCTATGGTACCCAATAGACATCAAGACTGGTAAGATTGTTACTGGTACTGAAGGATTTGTGCTTGAAGGAGGTTGGTTTATCTTCCCTGAGTTCCGAGTGGCAATTAATTTTGGCAATAAGTCGGCAGTTCAAATAGCGTGGAATGGTAAAAGTACATTTCATCACACTATCCCCTCAAAGGAGAAAGTTGAGCTAAAAGATGGTGTCAAAGTTCATTACACCCGCCTAGGATGTTCTTCACAAATTACTTACAAGATGGCAGTAGCAGCTGGAAAGATTGGCACAGATTGCCAGTTCAATTATACATCCAACTGTGAGCGTAATGTCAGGGATGCAGATGACATTCTGGCACTGGAAGACCGTCATTGGAAAAATTGAAATTTTATATATGTCAAACATGTGATTTAGGTGTTGCCTTATGATTTCTTTTCTTAATAATTAATTGTCTGCTCTAAATTGGAACTTGAACAAATGATTGGTCATGAAATTTTTGTCTCGACTTTTGTTCTATTTGTCTTATGAAAATTTCTCCTCACAATTGGTCTTTGATTAAATGTTTCATAAGGCAAATGTCTACATTTGATCCGTTTCCAAAGTTCTTTGAAGTGACAACATAAACATATTGATATGAATAACAAAGGTTCACCCATGCCAGTTGATTTAACTTTGACACAAGTGGGATGGTTCAGACTAACAAATCATCTTTCGGCCTGTGAAGTTGTATGTTTTTAACCCACTAAAGGTGATCTCTTTAAGTTGATATAGTGAACCATATGATCTTTTGTTTTGACATGCAGATCCTCAACAGGCACACCCATGAGAAATGCGCCATGAGAATGGGGAAACTGTCAAAGCTCTTAGAAAGATATTTGAATTACGGAGGTTGAAGATGAAGGAATCAGAAGAACAGTCATTAATGATAACAAAGATCAAACTGTCAAAGATTATAAAAAGATATTTGAATGATGGAGGTTGAAGATGAAGGAATCAGAGGAAAAGTCATTAATGATAAGAAAGATCATTGAATGAAGGAGGTTGAAGTTGCGGGAATCTGAGGAAAAACTAATGTGTTCCAGTTGAATTTGATATTTGAATGATGGAGGATGAAGATGAAGGAATCAGAGGAAAAGTCTTTAATGATAAGAAATATCATTGAATGATTGAGCTTGAAGTTGCCGGAATCTGAGGAAAAACTAATGTGTTTGAGTTGACTTTGTGACTTGGGCGCAGGAAATGGGCGCAGGAAATGGGCGCATTTTACACCATGATGGTGTATTTCAGGCATGAAGATGCGGGAATCTGAGGAAAAGTTATTAATGAAAAGTGTTTGACATGGCAGGAAACACCTTTAACAAAGAAGCATGAAGCTCCAGGGCCACATCTTCAATGTGTTTGAGGTTACTTTGTGACTTGGGCGGAGTAAAAGGGTGCATTTTACACCAAGATGATGTATCTCAGGCATGAAGACGCGGGAATCTGAGGAAAAGTTATTAATGGAAAGTGTTTGGCATGCCAGGTACTACCTTTAACAGAGAAGCATGAGCCTCCATTGTCACGTCTTCAATGTGTTTGAGACATTTTGGTCTCTTGGTCAGTATGACAGTGGTGCATTGTTGAACATGATGTTGTACTTCAAGGATCAAGATGAGTGATTTTGAGCTAAACACATGAATTAAAAGTGTTGCCCATGCAAACAATCACATTAATCAAGGAAAAAAATTGTCCTAAAGGTGACATCCTGATTGTATTTGATTGTGTTTAGGGCAGCATGGTGATCCAATTTGTATCATATTGTGCAGATGAGTTGTGCAATGTTGATTGATTGTCACACCCCCCAGGTGATTGACAGTATTCTAAACACCAATATGACAGAAAGTCTATGAAAAAGTGACCTTGTAGCCTCATGCTACTTTGTTAAAGGTGTTACCTGCCATGCCACACACTTTTCATAATAACTTTTCCTCAGATTCCCGCATCTTCATGCCTGAAATACACCATCATGGTGTAAAATGCGCCTTTTTCCTCCGCCCAAGTCACAAAGTAACCTCAAACACATTGAAGATGTGGCCCTGGAGCTTCATGCTTCTATGGTAAAGGTGTTTCCTGCCATGTCAAACACTTTTCATTAATAACTTTTCCTCAGATTCCCGCATCTTCATGCCTGAAATACATCATCTTGGTGTAAAATGCACCCTTTTACTCCGCCCAAGTCACAAAGTAACCTCAAACACATTGAAGATGTGGCCCTGGAGCTTCATGCTTCTATGTTAAAGGTGTTTCCTGCCATGTCAAACACTTTTCATTAATAACTTTTCCTCAGATTCCCGCATCTTCATGCCTGAAATACACCATCATGGTGTAAAATGCGCCCTTTTCCTCCGCCCAAGTCACAAATACAAATGAATGAAGAACAAGCCTGATTTGATTAAACCTTATAATGTCAGGCCAAAAGTGAATAGCTCAAATGACATTGGAAGCATGTCATTTGATTCCAGTAGGAGTTGATTGCCTCACCCATAGTGGTTTGAATATGGATATGTGTCTTACCAAGTATGAGTGTATGACAGTGAAATGTTACATTTGACTTAATCACTGTAAACATCATTCAACTTCCCCAATTTGGCAGAGGAAAATGATTAATAGTACAGTTTTTCATAAAAGAATCTAATACTGCACACCTGGGCCATTTCACCCACACTACATATGTGCAGCAAGCTAAGTCAATAGTTGTCTATCATGTACATACAGGTCTGCTCAGTTTTTTGCCCATCAGAATAAATAAATCACATGTTATACCACATGTAACTTTTTCGACTTTGAAATTTTTTTCCCAAAAATTCACTACATATAATTCTGTAGCTGCTCAGGCAATATTGTTGAAGCTATGTCTTAGTAACAGAAAGTGTGTTACATGCAGTTGAGTTGATGAGATCACACCAAAACATTGAGTCAGTGTATGTAGTCAATCTTTTGGAAGCTTTTTTCAATCTGAAAGAAGTTACAGCATGTATTACATATGAATAACTTGTCCTGATGAGCAGATAACTGAGCAGAACTGTATGTACATGATAACCACATATTCACTGAGCCTGCTACACATATGTAGTGTGGGTGTTATGGCTCAGGTGTGGAGTGATAGACCATTTTATGACAAATCATACTCCCAATCATTTTTCCCTGCCCACTTGGGGAACCCGAATAATGTCTGCAGTGAATGTATATGTTGTAATGTTTTGATTACAACTTGACAACCAGTTGTTTGGGTCACGTAGTTAGAGTAAGATTCCAAATTAAATGGAAGCAGGTGAGTGCTTCCTTTCATATGCTTTTCCAACCTTTGAAGATTCAGCAGCTGATTAGGCCACTACAAAGATTGATCCCCAGTATGTCACCCGCCAGGCCATTTACTTACCCATTCCCAATACATACAAAGAATTTCACGTTACTTCTGTCACCAGGGCCATTCAATTATTCCAGATCAAGGCTATAAACTTCCCGATTTGGACAATTACCAGATGATGAACTACAACTTTCACGTTACTTCTGTCAGCTAGGCGATACAATTTGCGAATACGGCTTGAATTTTCCCAAATAGGAGACTCACTTTGAGTCACTGTCTACTATCGATGATGTTTCATCAATAGTAGACTCGATAGGCCTGAGAAAGCCATATCAGATTGAAAGAGCTACGTGTACATCCTAGTTGAATGTTTTGAAAAGGTAAGTAAAGAAAGGTTGCTTGACTGTCCCAAAAAACTTCGCTGATCATGCCTTCCCAACGTAGAATTTTTGGTTTGAATCATCGACCTAAGCAACCAAAACCCTCTACGCCCCGGCAACATCAGCTCGTAAGGTCACGACAGCGTGACTTGGCGCATGCGGAAGCGTCCAATGCGGCATTTCTCCAACAAATCAATGTTGAAAGAAACCTTCAGGCAGGAGAAGGGCCATTAGGTGATGAAGACGGTGGTGTGGCCATGGATTTTGTAGTAGAAAATGATCAGCACGGCGAAGAAGAGGAAGAAGAAGCAGTAGTATCAGAAGAAGAAATCGACCTGAATCGCTTTATGCCTGGTCCAGGCGCTCCCAACGTCAATGATGATGCTGATGATGCCTTATTAGCAGCTTTGCGAAGACAGGCCCATTTGGAAGACCGACTGGCGCACGAAAAAAAGTGGCTTTGGCAGTATGCCATTATGTTGCCAACTTACCTTCAAAACCGGTTAGAGACTAAGGACTGGGGAGATCAAGAAAAGTGGAATCTAGACTTACGACCGGCCTGCCACTGTACAATCAGGACTGAGAGAGATATTGATCTTGTCGATTTATTAAGTGAGTGACTATTTGGAATGTATAACACATTTGCTTATTGTGATTCATAATTGTATAAACATATGGGATTGTTCAGCGCGACGTCGAACCAAGGTTTCCTTCTGCAAGAATTGCGACTTATCTGCCCCTCAAAGACTCCTGCAGATGGGATACATGGCTGCATCGCCATCGAGGCCACGAACAGCATTTTCACTCCGACTATTGGTACATCACCATGCACAGTGGATACGATTCGCAGTACCAACAGAGGGCTTTTGTGAGGCCCTAGACTCCACTTTAGACCACAGCAGCCCAGTCATATTAACATCTAAGGGTCGGGTACGTGCTATTCCACCCCCTTGCTGAAGACAAATTACTGACCGTCAATTGATCAGCCTAGAAAATGGGCACAGCCATTCACAGTGGCTGTAGACGCCTACCGGTCTCTGACGTCGCAAACCATCGCGCTGGAAAATCAAAAACTCCAACTTTCGGAACTTGGAGTTCTTGCCGCAAATTGTCCAGCTTGTTTTGGACCACCTGTGGGCGTTACACGACCTGAAGAGCCTCAGATCTTGGTATGCCTTGATGGAAACTTTCAGCATAAGAGACACGCAGGTGCCAGTGTACCCATTCCAGGATCACAGCCACCGCGACCTGGCCTATTCCTTGATCCCAAGCTGGTTCAAGCAAAGGAACAGTTCTTGAAGCGTGGACCCAACATTCCTGAAGAATATGTCAGTATCATATTTGGCCAATTTGAAAATGACCGCATTGGTACTTAACACAATGTTTCATTATTGTTGAATATGTATAGCACGCGTGCACCGAAGCTGATACCACCGCAAACGATGTCAGAGGGAAAAAAGCCTTCAAAAATATGGATGAATCAGGTTTACTTGGGATGGCATGTAGACATGACCATGTCCTCAAGTTCATCAACCTGATTCAAAGTGGCAAAAAGTATGTATCTGGATGCTAAGATAACAATCTTTGTGAAAAGCTAATATAGAATTGTTTAGAAATCATTATGCTTTAGCACTGATTCAGTGGATCCTAGACCTGTTGAAAACAGATCGGGATGGTACCACTACGATTGGGATTCTCTATGATATAGGTTGTAATCTGGACAAGACCATCAAAAATGTATGGAATAAAGCGCTCAAATATATCTACAGTACACTTACACATTGTGCTATTCCATTTATTATTACAGAAACCGGTATTTACCAATGAAAATTATGCTAAACAAGTGAAGGTGGGAACAGCTTTGTTCCATGCGTACGCTCACAACTGGGGATGCCAGCTGGAGTATAATCCACGCCTAAACCGAGGCTGGGGTAAGAGTAACGGTGAGGGACTGGAACGAGTGTGGGGAAAGTTGTCTCCCCTGGTTCGACTGCTACGATACGCTACCAAACAGCACCGTCTGGTCACCCTTGACTTGTGGGCAAGCCACCGGAATGAGGTCCTCCGTAAGAAAGCAGGTGTGATGAAGCTAACTATCAGCGGTTGGTGGATAGTAACTTAGGTGCTGCAACTTTACTTTGTCACAGTGTCCTTTATGGCCACCCAGACCGAGAAGTATCGACTAGAGTTGCCAGAAGCTGACAAAGCTCTGGAAAACCACGCCCGCGCGAACGTGATGCATACCGCTGAATACTGTCAGGATCAGTGGGACCGTCAGCGTGCCCAGCAGCTGAAAGCTATCAGTGTTAAGACTAAAGAAAAACGTGAACGCCTAGGCGTTTTGTTAACTCTTGAAGAGGATTTGTTGGAAGCGCGGCAAGTATTTATACGAGTTTTTCCTCACGTTATCCAAGGGAAACTTATTTAACTGAACGTTTTTGGTTGAATTTAGTCAGAAGCTCATTGACTTAAATGCCATGAAAGTACCAGTAAGAACTGCTGAACAACGGGAAGACCTTCTGAACCTTCCGAGGTCCCTGGTTGCTTTGGAATCAAAAATCCAAGAGCTTGCGGACGAACTTGGAAATGCAGAGTTGCTGAATAATCGACAGGGTAGCAGTAAGTTATATTTTGCGCATTTCCAAGTACCATGTAAAGACCATTATATGTATACCCAACCCGAACCTCAGCTGTTCGTGTTAAGGCCATCCTTAGTATCCAGGTTGCGTTGGGATTTTTGTATGAGGCCGCTGTGGATTTAATGCAAGAGAACGCTCATGCTGCCACTAGAACTGGTATGTATGTACACATGTCATTTTTTACCAATCCTTACTTGGATAATCTCACACAAGATTAATAATCTGCAAAAGGTGCGACTCAGCAGCCCCAAAATGAAAAATTAAGGCAGAAGAAACGCGCCCAACTTAAGAAGAAGCTGGCAACTTATATAAGGCATGCGAGTAAATACAACCGACGGTTCCGACCGCACCATCGACTTCTTGAACCTACTCTTGATGAAGTCATGGCCATGGATTTGTTAGATCCTTTTTGGGATGAGGTTGCGCTCAATCACCCCGATGAGCCATGGGCCACTTGTGAAAGTACCAAGAATGGAATAATTGCTTTGCGAAGTCGTTTCGCATCTGAAGAAGAACTCCGGCGCCTTGGACGCGAAGTAAGGCAGCTCATGGGGTGGGCGGTAGACTATCAGGCACGCATAGATCAAGCTAAGCCAAATGAAGGTCTTATGCCCTTGAAGACTCATGAATTTCATGTGCGCCTTAGCTGACTGAGGTCTTTTGCAGGGGATGTGCGAATGGCTGAGTGGAACTCAGTCCACTTGGGACTTGCAAAGCGTTCTTGTCGCCTATGGAGGGGATGGGATCAGTGTGTGTTACAGGTGATACAGTCCACCTGTGAGTTTGTGGAAGGAAGTGCGGACGGCGACCCTATCTTGATACATGCTTGGCAGGACATTATGGCACATACGTCTGGAACATGGGCCGAGATACTGGGAGAGCCCATACTCTGGGCTGATGGGGATTATGATGAAGAGGCGGGTCAGCCTGATTTTGGGGAGGAGGAATATATGTACGGAGAAAACGAAGGATTTTGGGATGAAGTTTGATATTTAATTGGTTTCTTTTTGGCAATTCATACAATTTTTTTTCACCATATTTAAGTTCAGTGTGAACATGACACAGTAAAAACCATTGAGCCGTAGCTTAACTGTGGAATTTTTTTCTCAATTCTTGACCTTTCAATAATATGAACCATTTGAATTGTTCATCCATTGCCATGTGGAGGGTTCTTCACCGATCATGAAATCAAAGCACATATATGGAAATCCAATGCAATGTCAGATCGACAAAAACGAAATAGGAAAGTTGTCAATAGCGAAGGCATCAGATGTTTACTTGCTCAGTTCAATGGCCGAACATAATGGAACAAATGCAGTTCTTAGGAGATTTTATTGAATATTAATGAGATGATTACAAGTATCGTGACATCACATTTATTCATGCGGAAAGTATTATGTACAAAGATGTGTTTACATCTCATTGACTACAGGCAAGTGTATGGTCGTTTCAGACCTTTCAATCTGAGAGAGTTAGATTTATAGGGTCTCGTTGTTTGGTTTTCTTACGTAGATATTTAATTTGGGCCTGGATCAATTTGGCGTGTGCATCAATAAGTGGTTGCCATACATCTAACCAACTGGAGGCATCTTCACTATGAAATCGTCGCCATGTTCCACAAAGCCGTGGTGCGGGGAAGCTTGGACGTGTAAAATCGAGCAGTAGTGATGCAAAGTGATGGTCGGCCCAGGCAAGAACTATTGGAGAATTGAGGTTGTGGGGGGTTAGAAAGGGAAAGACCATCTGACTATAAGAACCAGGTTCGTAGTACAATACTGGGCGATTGAAAGTTGTGGCTATGAGACCTCCCCACGCTGGCATGCTGAGCCAATACTTCTGCTCACTGACGACGTTTGCTTTGGTGGTTGCAAGACGTGCCAAGCATTCGGTGCGGCCCTCAGGTAAAGTCCGCTCATCAGGCATAGTGGTGGCTGTGTCGTGCATCCTTGAACGTATGTCAGCCCATTCTTCTTGCGATTGCCCAACTGATATGGCAATAGCGCGGAATCCACAGTGTCCGTCGCCTTTGACTTCACGAAGATCGATAACATACGGTTCCAGCCACGTGTGAATCCGGTACTTCGCCAACAGGGCGGGTAGATTGGGATTAATCAAGTGCGGCTTCTGAAGTATGCCTGCCTCCCGTGCTCGTTTCCGGGTAACGCGTTGGCAGTCCACAGGACTGCGTAGTGATAGTGATGTGGGTGAGATAGGGAGCAATGGCGGTGGAGGTTTGTCAGCGATTGTGGGAGTTAGACTTGTATCTTCTTCGCTTGATTTTCTTGATTTTGGTGATTTTGTGGTTGTATCAACCGGTACCGTAGAGTTTTCTGTGGGCTGAGAAAGGATGAGATCTTTGAAGTTGAACGTAGAGGTGGTGAGTTCGGTCGGCCCGTCATAAAACTCGTCTATGAGTTTATCGATCTTTAGAAACATAACTTAGTGTCTTCAGGTTGATTAAAATGCAAATTGGGTATTTTGGGAAGCTTACCGTTTCAACAATTGTGGCCTCATGGGCTTCCTTTAGGGGAGTGGAACACGCTGGCTGGCTTGAGGCCTGATTCATAAACACGTAACATGAGCATAAGCTCCTAATAAGCTCTTTGTGATGATCAAGTGGATACTTACAGGCTCGTGTGGATTGAAGGAAACCATCGCAGGTTGTGCTTCACTTATAATAGATTCGATCTGAGCGAATTATAAACACATAACGTAAGCATAAGCTCCTAATAAGCGCTTTGTGATGATCAAGTGGATACTTACAGGCTCGTGTGGATTGAAGGAAACCATCGCAGGTTGTGCTTCACTTATAATCGATTCGATCTGAGCAAATTATAAACACGTAATGTAAGCATAAGCTCCTAATAACTTCTTTGTGATGATCACGTGGAAACTTACAGGCTCGCGTGGTTTGAAGGAAACCAACGCAGGTAGTGCTTCACTTATAATCGATTCTATCTTGATCAGAGTGTCCTGCCGGCGACGTGGAGTCATAGCTCGGAGCCGGGCTGTGAGGCTGGACATAGTCAAATCTAGCGAGTCGTGTGGTTCAATAGGGGCTTTGATACGTTGGGAAGGTTGTGTAGGGTGATAATCACAATGCATCTCCTTTGAATGTTGGGGTGAGTGTGATTGGTTCACATTTGGTAATCGTGAATCGTGGGGTTTGGTGTTGACCTTTGCATTTGTTAGTGTTGCAGGTGACAAAATGTTTGGTCCGATGTCAGGTGAAGGCAGTGATGGGTTGTTAAGAAGGTGAACCGGCGATTTTGATAGTACATTAGTCTGACTATCAATGATATCGTGTGAATCGGCATCGATGTCACCTGGGCCTGGATCTTGGTCTTTGTCATTGTCAAGTGTGACTCCTGGAGCAAGGATGGGTTGGGCATTAGGATCCTTGTGCTTCTTGCGAGCTTTAACGTTTGGGTCGGGTGGGTGGTTATGTCCAAGGTGAGAATAAATTAGGAGCCATGATGAGCTATGATAAAGATATCGGGTATCGATCTCGAAGGGACATCCTATACGGGCAGATTTTGTGGTGCCGACGGCTTGTTGTCCTCCTTGTGGATAACCTGATCGGTAGCACTCATATTGTGAGAGTGCACTACGACTATGCGAGTGACCGATTCGAATTCGATAGCCGTGTTGCGTCGCAGGAAAAGATTCAATGTATTCATCCATCTTGCGTCGATCCTTGTGATTGATTTCAATGATGTCTGGTACTGGTAATATGTATTTGTGGCTGGTGTCCGTTTGCATGTTAACTGGTTTGTTGAAACTGTTTCTTGTTATTGAGGAGGTGAAATCAGTTAATTGTATGAGTGAGAGTACAATGGGAAAGGTGGAAAGGGTTGTGAGACTTATGTTCGATCGCGGTTGGTGTCGATGCACTTGTGATATGCGTAATATGTGTATAGTACTTGTGATAGGTGAAAGGTCCAGTGGTGAGAAATTGAAGTTACGAGTGTTATAAGTAGTGATTTTAGCTATGCTCGTGAGTGTGAGCTGAGTGTTAGGGTTGGTTTAAGTGAGGTGGTGATTAGGATGAAGTTACATGTGTTATACGTTGTGAGTTTTTATGTACTGGTGATATGTGAGCTGTGCAGTGGTGAGAATACAAGTGTGGTGGTGAGATTATGTCTGAGGCGGGGAGATCTCTTCTGAGATTGTAAGATTGTAGGTTGTGGTGGTGATAGTATCACTTGGTGCGTGAGCAGCCCAAAGGTCCCCCCCTTAGAGAAGTGGGACTTAGGAGAATCTTGGGGTTACCCTAGGAGCTCCTATCTTCCTAGGAAATTCTAAAGGGGCGTTTTAGAAGGCTATAGGATGATAGAAGAGGCTGTATCATCCAATACACTTGGAGGGATTCAGTACACACAGGTGGTATTACCGTGTACAAGGAAAGAAGGCAAAAGAAGGCCGAGACAACATTAAGCAATACCAAAAAAAAAGGCGGGACAGCGTGCAAGAAGATTGAACAGACTGCATACCTGGAACGGATGCTACTATTTATACATGTCACTTGAAGAATGGATCCTGTATCATAGTGTATCATGCACAAATGAAATGAAAGTGATAAAAATAACAGTATTGGAAGAATATAGAATGTTTACGATTAAAAAAAAGTGTATTATCCAGGTAATGATCATCATCATGCAATCGGTAGCGATTTCAAATCAGTGAGACATGGACTACAAGAGGAAAGACCAGGTTAACAACATGGTTCAAGAGAGAACAAGCACTAAAAATTGATAATTTGAGATCCGTGAAAGTCAAACAAAAGGCAAGCAAAGTTGCTGCACAGCATGTATAAACCATAAATAAGATGGGGACTGATATGAGCAGGCGTAGTAAGATGCAAGACACAATGCGCAAAAGGACCCTTTAGATAAGCTATTAGATTGCTACGTGAGGAACATCAGTTCTACTCGAGTGAGAGGATAACTAGAGTACAACTTGCTATAAGCATAAAGGTAAGAGCCTTATAGTCTGTGGCTCATAACACCACTCCCCCCTTCATGACTCAACCCCCTGTTGCGGGTTAGCATCTTTCCACGGGTTGGCATTAAAAAACCCTGTAGGGAAAAAGCTTCACCCTCACTTCTTTCTCCGCGCCTTTCTATATCTGTCTTCTGCTTGAGGATATTTGTCATCAAATCCTTTCATAATTTGTTTTGCATTCTTGCGTCCGCCTTCTGGTTCCCATGAATCATAATTGGGTCCATAACCTTTCCAATTGATTAAGTACTCTACTTTCTTCCCTCTCTTTCTTTTGTCTAAGATTTCATTGATTTCGAATTCTTCTTGTTCATCAATTATTATTGGTGGTGATGGTGATTTGTTTCGACCTTTGATATTGCTTCCTTCAAACTTTCGTAATATATTGACATTGAAAACTGGATGAATTCTATGCATGGACTTGGGTAAATCAAGTTTATAAGCATTTTCTGACACTTGCGCAGTGATTAAGAAGGAACCTAACCAACGGTGTGAAAACTTAACTGTTGGCCTAGTTGTTGATATGTTTTTGTTACTTAACCAGACCTTATTGCCTTTTTTCCATTTTGGTGACTCCTTCGCTTTTCTTTGGTGTTGAGTTTTCATTAATTCTTGAGTTAACATCATCACATCTTTAAGTTCACGTTGCACCTCTTTGATATGCTTCATTTGTTCTTCTACCACCGGTGAACACTGCTTGCTGGACGGTATATCTGTGAAGGCAACATTGAACCCATAGTTTGCCTTGAAGGGTGACACTCCTATGGCTGCATGGTAGTTGTTATTGTAGGAGAACTCAGCAAAAGGGAGAAGTTCATACCAGTTGTTTTGTTTGTAAGATGTATAATGTCTTATAAACTGTTCAGCTGCCTTGTTGGTGATCTCCGATTGCCCATCCATTTGCGGATGATAAGCCGTCGCGGTTGAGTTTTGATGCCCAGTCGTTTGTGAAAATCTTTTGTTGCTCTTGAGATGAACACGTTTCCTCGATCAGACGTAATCGTGTTGAGAGACACCTCTTGTCTCTCTTACTTAGGTTTCAGCTGTCGTGAAAGGTAGTAAAGGCTAACATACATTATCATTACACACAATCAGATTAAGACTAATAATAGTTTAATATTAGAACCATAATACTCTAACCTTAACCTTCCTATATCAAATTCACTTTCACATGTCGCGTATATCCTCTTTTCCTCATCCGTCATTCTACGGGAGGAAAAGAGTAAGTCTGTTCTATATTAAATCAATCATCATCACTATGTTTTCTTTCTGTCAATTTCTATTCTTGTTATCATTTTACTAATAATTTCTATTTCACCTGAATTGTTGTTGACGCTAGATCAACTGCTAAAATCATACGCGTCGACTCTTTTCCCTTTGTTCTTTCTTACTTGACCTGAAACCTTCTAGGTCAGATAGTCTTTAAAAGATCACAGAGTTATTTCTCTTCTTATCTAACTTTCATTATCTTCTATTACTTCCTTTTGATACTCTTCTGATTGTATAGGTTAGCATTCAGGTAGTTTAGTGACCAGAGGTGATAGAGGCTCACCTCTAGTATTTGTCACGGTATATCAGGTTAGCATTCAGGTAGTTTAGTGACCAGAGGTGATAGAGGCTCACCTCTAGTATTTGTCACGGTATATCAGGTTAGCATTCAGGTAGTTTAGTGACCAGAGGTGATAGAGGCTCACCTCTAGTATTTGTCACGGTATATCAGCTTTCAGGAACCTAGACGGATTTCGTCGCTTTTCAAATCGACCTCGGGGTTCCATGCAACCTCCACACCTCTTGTATCATGATATCAGCCAGGTCTTCTGATGATATACTTTTCATACAAGGTATGAAGTGAGCCATCTTAGTCAAACGGTCCACTACTGTTAAGATACTGTCAAATCCGTTTGATATCGGGAGGTCGGTTATTAAGTCATAACATACATCTAGCCATGGTCCTTCAGGAACTGGGAGTGGCTGTAGGCTTCCAAAAGGCTTATCAGTTTGAGACTTCACGCGTTGGCAAGATTGGCAACCATCTACGTATTGCTTAATAAAAGCTTTCATTCCCGGCCAGTGATACAATCTCTTGATTAGGGCAAGGGTTCTCATTCTCCCCGGATGCCCTGCCAAGCGGCTATCATGCCTCAATCACAAGATTTGTAGCTTCAGGTCTGCATCGTTGGGCACAACTACTTTGTTCCTGTAATACAGTACTAGCACAATTGGGCGGCGGGCGCCGCACTGGCAATTCTGACACAACCCACAAAATAACTGGGGGGACACCTGTAGATGTTTTGAGGTTTGGTGCGCTCCCAGGAGCGCCCAGACTTTTACGGTACAGTCAAAACTCTCTAAAGCCATACCATTGGGTGGATCCAAATGGCTATGGGTTTAGGGAATTTTAGCCCTTTTATGGAGTTCCTAGAAATCCCCTCCAAATCCATACATGTATGGGTTTCCATAAAAACCCTCTTAAACCATAATGTTTATTGGATTAGAGGGATATGGGCTCAGCTCAATTCTTGGATGCAATATTGATTCTAGCATTGAATTTTTTTAATCACACTGTAGTTGATCATATCTATAATATCTATACTTGTGATTACAAGTTGTAGTGAATTGGAGAAGTGACAAAAGTAAATAAAGTCGAAAAGATTGGATATACTTTTGTGTGATGAACTGTGTTTTTAGTCATCTGACAGGAATTTTTGTAATTAAGATGATCTGGATGTGATTGAAAGGTTTTTTGAGACTGATTGATCAATTTTGGAATTTGAAGTAATTGGTGATGGTAGACTGCTGTGCGTTGCTCAGCAGCACGGAGCGCACACGCCCAGAGTATTAGGTTAGCATTGCCCCTAATTCATTGGTCATGGCGCTATCATCAAACTCTAAGTAAGTCATCAACTGTGCCATCAAATCCAGTGCTTGCTTTGAAGTCAGTTGCTCTACAGGAACATCTACGGCAGTTGAATCAGATGATGCAACATTTTTGGGAGTGGTTTCTTCTTGACTCTGGAGCAAGAGCTCCCATTTATTTTGGAGTTTGCCATCAGGGTTGAGTATCTCTTCTAAAGACATTTGGTAAGTCTATAAAGTAGATTGTCGGATGAAGAGAAGAGAAACTTGTACAATTTTACTACACAAAGTGCTTCTGGAACTTTTCCACGAAAGTTCCAGAACAAATTTTCCAGAAAGCCAGAAAGCCAGAACACGTTCTGGCTTTCTGGACTTTGATCAAATCTCCACAATGCCAATCTAACTCCCACATCCACCATCACAACATGCCTGACGATACTCCCCCTTCAAGCACCCCACCAACGTCCCCACACCAGATACCACAGCCAATCTTAACCCCTCTTACTTTCCAACTTCATCCGTCCACAATCCAGTACTATCCATCCTTTGGTTTAAACACAACTTCACCAAACTACTACCCAAACCAAATTCCTTCGACATATCCCCCGGGAATTGTTCAACAAGGCTCTTTCGGATCTTCACTTAATTCGATCACATCCCTTCCCCAACCTGCCTCGCAACCAGTAGAGTTCACCATGACTCGATCAAAGAATCCTAAGAAGCCTAATGCAAGAGGTGGGAAGTCGCAATCATCAACATCTCGTAAGAGTCGAGCAACAACCAGTAAGCCCCTGCAATCACCATCAAGTGGAAAGCCGCAAAAAAAAGGAAAGAAGGGTGAAAAAGGAGGTGAAGACGGACCTTGTAGAAAGCCACCGGTGAAGTGGGAAGATCAGAAGAACAAA